ATCGCTCATGTTGTTTTATATTTACTTTTCGCCCATATTCCAACATTAAAGGATGGTCTGAACAACGAAACCTACTCGAGGCAAAACGAATCATTGCGTTGCCATCAATCGTTGCGTTGCCATCAATCGTTGCGTTGCCCTCCTAGGGGGTCGAGTGATGGTGTCACCATGCACTAACTTCCACCGGACCCCGTAGTTCGTGCTAGATGGGTTATGTTTGTGAGTGCGAAGCGAGCGTTGTGGAAGCTTGGAATGATATCTTAAATATGTTCAGATCGCTTCGCGGAAGTTAAAGAATCAAAACAACCTACTAGTTGTAGTACAATAAATATATGATTGATGACCAAAAAAGATTTCCCATGACACAACTTGAAGCATAACGATTTCTTTCTCGGAAGCGAGGAAGTGACAATACTGCCCAATAAATTTCTTGCTACATTCACGTGGTAAACGTCCACTCACCAGTATGTAGATACTAGTCAACGTGCGTCTTTATATTTGGTCTTATTATCCTAATTAGTTTATTATCATACTTGTATGCATTTTGAAACTAAATAAAAATCAGGCGATCTGCCTATACTTATAACTGGAATATCTAGACATTTTATAGTTTGCCAATGTAAATCATAATTCGCACACGCCCTAGTGTATGTTGTCATTACTTCACGACGAAAACAATGATTCTGTGGAATGCTACGAAAAATGAAAAACAAAATGCAATTATTAAAATTAAAACAGATTAGAGTTATAAGAACAATGTCAGGCGATTACTTTGTTCAAGGAATGTATCCATCAATATCCACAAAAATGAGTGATATACTATTCACCTGCAGCAGTTCCAAATGATGTGTCTTTTAACAGTCTAATACATGTTTACGAAAAGTGATATATCGTTTCAGGTATCTCACATTGGTATATAGTCTCATTGGTCACCAAAGATAGCATACCTGGGAACTAATTGCATAATGTCCGCCATTCTTTACAAAAATTAATTTAGTTAGCCAATAATGAGAATCAATGTCTTGGCGGTTAATCCTTTGAAAAAGGAAGTTGTTTTACGCAGACACAGACACGACAGAGTGTATTCAGTATAGATTAGTAAATCTACATACACAAACACTACCTTTTGACAAATCCGCTGTGTAAGATAAAAGTATGGGTTAATCGTTTGATCGATGTTTATAATGTTGAGTATTTACTCCAGACACAAGAAATGCAAAATGGGAACATTTGTCGGGTTATCTAAGTGGTGTTACCACCAATTATACCTGTTATAAATTCATTAACTGACCATCAAGTGAATGATGACAAATGACATGTGTAGGTTTATACCACCTAACACGGGTTACAACAAGGGAGTATTAATTGCTGTATTGCATGTGAAAACCTATGGGCCGACACTATTTTGAGAATACGGACAGAACTTCATTGTTGCATAAGAAATACATATAAGCATTTGCTGTGTGCTAAAACTGTATTTACCTATTTACCTAAGTAAATTTTCAGAGTCTTCTAGCAATAGCAAAGTGCAAGGATGTGTTAAAAAGTAGAAACGCAGTCAAACAGTTACTGTTCGAATTGCATGAAATATGCAAGAAGCATGACATATTCAAGAACAATGTTTCCAATTTTAGAAATATGAGATTCCCCAAAATGTACAATTTTGGAATATATCTACAAAGGGAGATAACTGGTGGGTGATGGTAAATTATTGTTCTTTGCACGCCCCAGGACCTAATCCCTTGTTGATTGATGAGTGAATCAAGGCAGTTAATAGTCACCAATTAACAAGGCCTACTGCCTTGTTAATTAACACGTTTTTATGCCTCTTAAAGAAGCCTCTGGAAGTAAGTTAAATCTTTGATGGGCTTTAAGAAGTGGAATGCATTACTGTGACCTGATTTTCACCTGATGAAGGAGCAAGCATATGCTCCGAAACTTCGTGTTATTCTCAATAAAGAAGTAGACATCCATAACTCTTATTTTTCTGATTAAAAGGTAAGTTATTAAAATCTGCTGAGCTGTAGGTTTGTTAATCATGTAGCGATGTGATTATTGCTCTAACACACCTGAGAGATTCGTCAACAGTGCGGTATGCACAGGCGGGGAAAATTGTATTGTATTACATTGGGTTGGTTGCATATTGTTTTGTTTTATGCTGTCAGTTTGTATGTATGTGTGAATGAGGAACCTCACATATTATGACATTGAAAACAGACTAAACTTAACATTATTCCATGGTCAATATCGCAATGTTTGTGAAATGGTAGTATACGGAAGTTTGTTTCACATTTTTGATAATACCTTCTTTTATGCAGATAAATTTATTAAAAATGAATGAATAATGCCATGCTTCTCTCAGAGTAAGGGAAGATAATTTATTGAGTGATTCTCATCAAATTAGATATGTCTTTATCGTCCGAACAGAATTCACAAATTACGGATGTTTTTGTGGGTGTGTGTGCATGCACGCGTGTATAACATCTAACTTGATATGTATTAATTAAAATCAGGCCGATTGTAACCATAATGACTTTATTGGTTGGAACACTCCAAAACAAAAATAATTTCATTCTTCAAAAGGAACTGGAACAGTAACATTTTTCATGTTTTCATATGAGCTTCAAAACATTGAATGAAATAAATGCTGTATGATGAAATGGATCAGAGAACATTAGAATGGCATACATGACGTGTGAATGACACATGTAATGGTCAAAAATATATAATCACTATGTTAGTTAACTCATGACCAGACACGTCAAACTGGTACCGATAGATTTATGTCTAATATGTAAAAATGCAGTATTTCTTAGAACCTGAAATAGAAAACACGACTTTGGAATGAGATGTTTTAATCTGAGATGAATCTGTTAGGTAGCAATTTACTTAAGTAGAACTTAAATCAACTTCAAAAGATTGGTCATTCGCAAAGTGAAGCAGTTTCCACTTATACTGCAGTAAACAGTATGGGGATACACAACGAAACATACCACTTATGTGATAACAACTCCATGTTTATTGCATAGAGCGGCATTCCGATGTACAACGTTCAGGATAGACAAGCTGATTGAATGTTCATTGATTCCATCACTTGGACAAAGGAGTGGATTTAGACTTGTTGATCTTACTCTCCTGTTGGCCCCAACGATGTGCTAGTTGCTGAATTACCTGGTGTTAATTTGCTGCTAGTCACTATGCATATATACTTCTGTTCACCTGGTTGTAGTAACTGTTATCTTGATAACGGCGTGAGAATATACATGGAAACTCCCCTCTATCGACCTTTGGTCCAAACAGATGAGTTAAGAGAAATGTTGATGTCCCGTCCGTTAGCAAATTAACATTGGATTATAGAGACAATGACAGGCCTACGTGTTGATAGAAGAGGATATTCCGGATTATGCGAATGACAGCACACCAAATGAGAAAACGAGCCAAATATATGTATAAAGATAGTGTTTCATTTCAGTCTCAGCATATAAACATTGAAATATAAAACACATAAAAAAAACATAGAAGGCGTAAGCCACGAGTGGTAACGGGAGACTATATGGACAGATTTTATTTAATCGAAATCGAATGTACACTTTCATGCTTCTTCTCATTACATGTATATATCCCCATGTAATAAGAGGGGAACTGATCCAGAGCGATTAATGTTTCTCGCCAACAGTCTAATTACCAAACCAAACTGCACGCTTGTCGGTATCTGCTCCCTCAACCATGACGGACACAGGGACTGGGCTTCTGGCCACCTTGACAAAATGTCTTCAACCCAAACAGCGGGACATTAGGAAGGGTGGATGCTCATCAGATGTTGTTACATGTATTTGAGAATACCCCCAGTAGTTCCTGTCTGATTGCAATAAAGTATACAAGCAGTGTACATGTATATGCTTTTCGGATTTTTTAATGCATAGATGGCATAGTGACTGATCCAATTTTCCAATTTGATCTTATTTCTGTGTTTTTTTACCTCGATATTTAATCATGCCATGTGAACATATGATGTCTATTACATATTGTATTTATGACAAATGAAACTGTACTCAGGTATATACAATTTTAACTTCAGTACACATCCAGTGCTTATATGTATTTCTTATGCGTTCCGTTAAGTTCCGTTCGTATCCTCCAAACAGTGTCGGCCCATAACTTTTTTTCAGGCAATTAACATTGCATGCAATTCAGCGATTACTACCCCCTTTGCTGTAACCAGCTGAGTGTTTGGTGGTATAAACTTACACATGTTATTTGTCATCATTCACTTGATGGTCAGTTAATGAATTTATAACAGGTATGATGGTAATACCAATCAAGTTACCCGCCAAAGGTTCCCATTTCGCATTTCTTGTGTCTGGAGTAAATACATCTACTCAGCATTATGAATTAAGGTCTGATGTGACAAATGTATTACATGTTATGCAATATGCTCATGGAACTGCAGCAAGACGAATTATCAGCTGAGATACAAAACAAACATTGATCAAAGGGTTAACCGATAACACGCTGATTGATTAATTACTTTTTCTTTCACAGCGGATTTGTCAAAAGGTAGTGTTTATGTATGTAGATTTACTAATCTATACTGATTACACCCTGTCCTTTACCCTGTACCTGTGTAAAACAACATCTTTCCTTCAATGTATTAACCGCCAGTAAGTTGATGGGGTGTTCCTCTTTACCAGTCGGGCAAGTTGTTTATTTAAGGCGTAAGAGGATCACCAGACCATGTTAATTAGCAAGACAATGGTACGGGTGGGTGGGGAGGGTGGGGAGGAGATGACCAAGCCAAGAAAAACACAAGTGGATTAAATGCTCATTATTGGCTAATTAAATTACCTTTACCAATGAGATTATACACCAATGTGAAAACTGAATCGATGTATCCCTTTTTCGGGTATTAGACTGTTAAAGGTCACATAAACCCTAGGGGGTACAAATACATAAATCACTAACTGGCATCGTTATAAATGAAACCCCGTCATTAAAACTACTCATTTCGACCTTTAATTGACTTAAATCGACCTTTTTGACAACAGTGCACAATTCTCACCCGCGAACGAAATTTCAACCAATCAGAGCGGCGCGCCTCTGTGACGTCATATGAGGAATAGCTTTGAGAGCCGATGCAGAATTCATCTACATTTTAGGGGGTAAATTATCGTGTTTACAGGCTTGTGTAAACCTGAAATCGTGACAATTGTTGTGGAAAATGAAAGCTATATGTTCTCACAATCTACTGTCATTTAATTTTGTCTCCTGCTTTGCCTAGTTTCCGAGTTACAACTTGTTTTCATAGACGATTCTGTCAAAATCGATTGGTGTCGTTAGGCCCTATTTGTATAATGACTGATCCAAATTGATCCCATTTCTGTGTCGTTTTACCTCGATATTTAATCATGTCATGTAAAAATATGTTTGTATTCTCAAAACAGTGTCGGCCCATAAGTTTTCACATGCAATACAGCAATTAATACTCCCTCGTTGTAACCCGTGTTAGGTGGTATAAACCTACACATGTTATTTGTCATCATTCACTTGATGGTCAGTTAATGAATTTATAACAGGTATAATTAGTGGTAACACACTTAGATTACCCGACAAAGGTTCCCATTTGGCATTTCTTGTGTCTGGAGTAAATATTCAACATTATAAACATCGATCAAAGGATTAACCGATAACACGCTGATTGATTAATTACTTTTATCTTACACAGCGGAATTGTCAAAAGGTAGTGTTTATGTATGTAGATTTACTAATCTATACTGAATACACTCTGTCGTGTCGGTGTCTGCGTAAAACAACGTCCTTCTTTCAAAGGATTAACCGGCAATACATTGATTGATTGCCCATTATTGGCTAACTAAATTACTGTTTTAAAAGAAAGGCGGACATTATGCAATTAGTTGCCAGGTGTGCTATCTTGGGTGACCAATGAGACTATACACCAATACCTGAAAAGATTTATCACTTTTCGTATATTAAACTGTTAAAAAAAACATCATTTGGAACAGTTTTGTGGATATTGATGGATACATTCCTCGAACAAGGTAATGGCCTGATATTGTTCCTATAACTTTAATCTGTTTTAATTTTAATATTTGCATTTTGTTTTTATTCAGTTGTCGTAGCATTCAACAGAATCATTGTTTTCGCCGTGAAGTGTAATGAGACAGACAACATGCACTAGGGTGTGTGTGCGAATTATGATTCACATTGGCAAACTATAAAATGTCTAGATATTACAGTTCTGTTATAAATTCACTATAAGTATCAGCAGATCGTCTGCTTTTATTTAGTTTCAAAATGCATACAAGTGTGATAATAAACTAATTAGGATTATAAGACCAAATATAAAGACGCACATTGACTAGTATCTACATACTGGTGAGTGGACATTAACCATGGAATGTAGCAAGAAATTTATCGCGCAGTATTGTGACTTCGACCCCACCTCGCTTCCGTGGAAGAAATCGTTATGTTATAAGTTGTGTCATGCAAAATCCGTTTGGTTATGATTCCAATACATATTTAACAAAGAGTAGAAAGTAGTCTTGATTTTCTAACTTGATGAAAACAAACTATAATCTCCTTAATTCTAACAGATTTTTTTATTTTTAAAATGGCGGCGCCCTGTCGGGAACATCCGCCAGTCTGAGGATAAATGGTATTTAGGTTTGTTTTCACCGAGTTATGGTAAAATCAAAACTACTTTCTACTGGTAGTAAAATATGTATTTTATTGATGGCCAATAGGATTTTGCATGACATAGCGTATATCATAACAATTTCTCTTGTGGCAGCGAGGTGGGTGTCAATATAATACTACTTACAATATTATTGTTACTTCGACCACAACCTCACTTCCGAGGAAGAAATCGTTATGTTACAAGTTGTGTCATAGAAAATCTTTATGGTCATCAATCATATGCATATTTTACTACAACTAGTAAGTAGTTTTGATTCTTTAACTTCCGTGAAGCGATCTGAACACAAGTAAGATATCGTTTCAGGCTTCCACAACGCTCGCTTCGCACTCACAAACATAACCCATTTAGCACGAACTGCGGGGTCCTGTGGAAATCTGTGCATGGGGACACCATCGCCCGACCCCTAGGAGCAATTGACGACAAAGCAACGATTCGGCATGTCGTCGTTGATGTCGAGAAATCATCAAAATGATGAGCGTGCTACACATTTTCTATACAACTAACTGAAAATCGTTCCTCATATGACGTCACTGCAGTGCTCTGGCGACAGAGTTACGTAACCTGTCTGTGGTTTCGTTGGCGGGCGAGAGGGAAGCAGGCGACTTTTTGGCCACTTTTAATCGCTCGGTATTAATTAACCACAAGTTTTTAAAGAATAAATTTGGTGTTCCGCATAAGACTAACCACAAATCTTTCATATGTAATGGTTAAAAGAGTAACAAAAAACAAAGTTTAGTGGTTCTTTAAAAGACACTTGACATGGAACAGGATTCTTTGTCAGCTGCAGATCAATGGCATATTGTTCCTTTATGTGGAGGTAGTGTCCCATTTTTGACAGCGTCTTGGTCACTGATTCGCGAAGTTTCGCTCTCAAACATGGGATAACTAGCTGCACCAATTAAGGGTAGTTATGTTAATGCAATCACCTGAGAGAAGTACAGAACAAGTAAAATTCTTCAACACTAATACGAACTAATACGAGACGAACTGCCAGCAGGAATGGTAGAGACTCCGATCGCAATCTCTACTGGTAGGATCGGAGATTCTACCAGATCGCAGTCTCTACCCTGACACATACATTGACTTCGTTATTTTTCAGTCATGGCAGATGATTAAACTTCAAACTGTTTTCATTTGTTATAATCAAAATGATGGAAATATTATCGAGTAAAACAAGATTTTATTTTTGTTGATCAATCTACACCTATACGATCAATTGCGCATGCGGGTTGCGCAGCAAAGGTCACGAACCAATCGAAAATACTGGGATATCATCCGGGTGTTCAGGGGAGAAAAGCAATAACAAAAGCAACAACCAGTGCGCGGAAATTGCTCTGGATCAGTGCCCTTTTAAATGTGTTTACCATATGATTGTTTTGATCATGTTTTTACACGATCGGCTTCAGTGTGCGATGTGTTCACTTCCATCAACCACCAGCTTGTAATAACACGTCACATGAGATTAGCCATGTGCTAAAATAACACCCAAACTTTAAAGCCTACCCCTTGTCAATGTCCTGAGCCTTATAAGAATCGAAAGGTCGGCTTCCTGAGTCGACATCTCAAACTATGGTATGTAAGTGGTAAAAAATTCCTGAGCATTAGAGAATTGTTTGGAATTTAATGCTTTTCATAAACTAGAATCTGATAAACTATTTGTCTCTGGAATCACCTGTGATATGAACTTGTGTAGTGATTTCTCTAGAAATTATTTAACGTTATCTAAAATAGCGACATTTAGTCACCTTTTATTGTATATGACCAAATTAATTAGTTACAGTATGAAGTTTTTAAGAAGGAATTCATTTGGGTTCTTTTTGCCCCAGTCCGCCTGTGTGTGAACAATATAACCAATTATCTATTATTAAGTTCATGATATTTCGTGAATACACCAACTGCATAACACCGTCTCTGACCACAAACCCAAACGGGTTGCTCTCTATTCGCCTACAGTCTTAAAACAACACCCAAACGGTCCAGCCCTTGTGTCAGGTGTTAATTAGAGGGTACCATTAAAGAATGAATTCTACTACAATAAGCCTATTATTCCCTGGCAAGGGTTCACTTTTATGACATGTAATAAACCCTGGCCAGTCAGTCAGTGGGTCCGGTAAACTTTTATTTAATCAATGATGTAACGTAGGTCTATGTAATTTGTGTTTATGCAAACCGTGACAGGTCAAAAACTATTTGCGCTTTTGTGGATAATAAGTAAACCATACACTTAAAACTGTATTTTGGAAAATGCTAGCCATATCAGGGCAAATATGACAGTTAATGTCAATTTTTGACACATAGAACAACAAGGATGCAGACGAGAGAAGTTATACCAGGAATAATCTACAACGTCTTATAGTCTCCCTGGTTATAGTTGCTCGCATAGGAGGACGAATACACTCCTAGGAGGACGAATACACAGTCTATACACTCACGGGGATCCTTGGGAAAAGGATAAACTGAAAGAAGTAGTGGTAAAATCCTTCCTAAATTTCCAAAAATTTCCAAACCTTGGAAATATCATCTTTCCAATTTTGGAAATTTTTGGAAAGATGATATTTCCAAATTGGAAATTTTTGGAAATCTCCATTTTTTTTCTTGTGGTTGTTCCGTGGCTGAGTATAGGCATACGCAAGAATTGTGACCATTTCAAGGGCGGTAATTTGTGGTAATTAATGAAGCATGGATACAATAATTAAAACATTTTCAAGGGAGGTAAATCCTATGGTCTATTAAAGAAATTGGGTCAGGTCACCCATGCATGTGATTAACCACAATAACTAAGAAGAACATCTGCACCTCTGTTCTTACAGTATGTATGTGTATATATCAGTGTGCGTGTACCTGTGTATATTACATAGATAACAAAGAACAAAACTGGCACTTTACATTTTAATATTCCTGTAACATAGGTAAATTGGTGTTTTGGGATGTAACAAAAATATCTTTCAACCAGAGCTGAGATTCAACAAACACGTACATACACATAAACGTCCAATGCCTTTTCTAAACATGAAAATACAATGTAAGACAAAAAGCGCATATGTGTGCACCACATTAAACTTATCTAATAAAAATCTACAATACGTTTTTGACTTTTTCCAACAAAACCTTTCTATTCTTTGATTTGGAATGAATTCCATGCGACTTTAACATGTCCCGTAACTCAGCTAGAGGCATTAGCTCAGGATCAACCTGTGTTGACGTTTGATCGTGTATCTCTCTCACGATCTTAGCCCTTTTGGCCTGTCTTGCCTCTGCAAGTTCCTCCTCCGTCCAATACTCAAGGCGCCTATTGCAGTAAGGCCGCTTTTCTCTAGCTAAATGGCTGCTGTCTTCCATTCTCTTCCGAATGGTTAGGGCGTCAACTGTGGCATCCCATTTCTGAGATTTTCTCTGGTGAATCTTTTATTTCATCATTAGTTTTCTCACAACTTGGCAGCTGAATGGCCTAAAGGGATCCAAATCTGTCAATCATGTTGGGGAACGTGGTAGGCCATACAGTGTATGTAGGGAGTAATATTCCTCCTCTGATAGCCGCCAGATTGAGGGAGCCAAGGAGAAAAGTCTCGATCCAAGACTTGGCAGTTTCAAACACTACATGGCCAGATATGGATGTATCGTCACAAGTGATGAGGTCATGGTACTCTCGCTAAACAGTGTCCACAGAGTACATACTGTAGATTCAGTCATGGGGCTAAGGATCCCATCAAGTTGTTCTGGTAGTTTAACGAGAAGTGTTTTCTTGTCACGACCTGATAGGGTTGTCCATTTTAGCAGCTTGGACTCTTTGTCCTCCCACGCCTTGGATGGTACCCCACAGCTACAGATACAACGTATTAGGTCGTCTAGGTGTCTCTTGGGTTTCTTTTGAAAGGACAGACACTCGTCCAGCCTGATTGCCTCATTGATGAGATTTCTCTCAATGACATCTGTTACCTCTGAAGAAGATGGAGCTCATCAATGACATAATTCTCGACTGGAATGTCCAACAGTGGGTAATGGTGGGCGCCATACATCATTTTGTCGGCATGTTCCTGGATCGTTTGAAGAGTCCTTTTCATTTCTTCTTCTGAGAATAATATTCCATCGCGAAAAGATGTGTCGCCTGTTATCCTTGTGCACGAGACATAAAGGACATGCATAATTCCCTGTTGCTCTTCCTAAGCCCAATATGGTCAGTATCATTTTCATATCCGAACAGGCACCCCTTGAAGAGCAACCTCCCGTGGTGGGTGCTGGGTAACGCCAATGGCTTTTCGCCCCCGATGTGGACCAGGGTCGAATAGGTCCACAACACCCATTGCTGGTCGTAAGAGGCGATCAAATTGGGCAAACCGTTTGCCGTGGGTTTGCATCCTGTGTCGGCAGGAGGAAGGGAGTCTGGTGGTTGAGGATTGCGGAACCGGCAATAGTGTTCACTAATCCAACACACCACTTCAGCCCTAACTTTGCCTAGACGGGTGGTAGAATAGGCCCGATTCTACCAATCGGCTGGTCACGCCTTAACCCTGTGCATGGAATGTCTATACAAAACGTGGTATTACATAACACTTTTGACCATGTTCAAAATGTTAACAAATATTCTACGAAACAAATTAGCCTCGCAGACCCATGCACAGAAGGCGAGGCTCATGGGCCAATCTGGTGATGCTGACCTCCGATTTCTGTCGTCGCGTCTCCAATTGATTGTCATGGACAGAACCATCCTGACCTTTAATCTGGCAGGCAGCTACAGCATTTCATGTCAAATTCGCTGGAGTATAACATCCCTTTTCCCTGGTCTTTGCAGCTTGGAGATCGGCTACAATATAAGATCGTCCTTGTTGACACTCCACGGTGGGTGGGGAGAGGGGATGCCGAACCATTACCCACGACATGGCTTCCCAATACCCCTCGGTTCAAAAGCGAGAGACACATGGATACCGACAATTCCTCGTCTGACGAGAGTACGCCCGACCCCTGACTACTGGCCACGCTTCCTGATTATTGAGGCTTGTGACAAGCAACCTTTGTAATTGAACCCTTTTGCATGATCTCCAAAGGTTGGGTATCTGCGGAGGGCTTGCCAATGTCACAAAGCTCCGATCTGGCTCTCTCCTAATAGAATGTGCCGGAAAAGCACCAATCCTTGAATCTCCTCAAAATACAAGAATTTGTAAATGTCAAGGTCGCTGTCTCAGCACACAAAACCCTTAATTCGTGTAGAAGCATTGTACGGGACAGAGCTCGATGCCTGTCTGACATGACTGAAGAACAAATTGTCAAGGAACTCTCTCAGCAATCCGTCAAATGATTTACCTTCAAAAAGGATGGTGTTGTTCAACCAACGAACACCTATCTCTTCACGTTCGCGCGAGCAAACATTCCTGACTCGATTAGAGCTGGTTATTGTAGCATTGGTGTGGAGGTGTATGTCCCCAATCCACTCCGGTGCTACAACTGCCAAAAGTTTGGACATGGATCCAAGTCCTGTCGTTCCTCTGCTGTCTGTTACCGCTGTGGTGACAAG